TGTGGGGCACATGCAGTTTCACCAGCAAATGCTGCTCATTCGGACCAGTCCAGCCTGTAAAGCTGGAGGAGAGAAAGAGCATAGCAAGGTTTCTCCTCCCTCTACTGCTTCTCTTTTGCAGCAGATCAGAAAGGTCCGTCCAGTCCCTGTTGGCCAGTGAGCTACCAGAATTTTACTGTTGCCTGTCCAGGAGCAGAGCTTTGCTCACATAGTAACCAGTGCAAACAAAATTTTCCTTTTTTAGAAAGTGTCCGATCTTGAGTTCCTGCCCTGCTTTGTTGGACTGATGCTCCTTGACGGGGAATTTTTTTTGAAAGCAGCAAAGTAGAGATGGGGCGATAGCAGGGTCAGGGGAGCTTTGCTGGGGGAAAGGACACTTTTTTCCCTTCCAGCCTATCTTTTGCCCCAATTACAGCACTGGAGCAGGTAGGCTCGGCTGTCTATGCAAGGTGCAGGGAGACAGGCCTCCCCTGGACCAGCTTTGCTTTGTGCATGTTCTCTTGCAGCCGTTGTCACAGAACCCTGAGATGTGGTGGCCGGAGCACAAGCTGGGCYGGTTAGCTGGGGACATGCAATGGCYGTGGCCAGRGTGATCCAGCCCAATGCCAGGGAAGGAAGTCAGCGAGAAAGACAGAGTGTGAACAAAATCCCTCTCCGGAAAGGCGCCCYGTTAATCAGTCAGCGGGGCCGACTCAGCAGAGAGGGAGGGAAGGGGAAGCAGAGAGGGGCTGAGGTGGTGTGTGGGGGCTCGGAGGGAGGATCCGGTGCAGGGCTTCCTGTCAGTGGAAGCAGGCGCAGAGCAGGGGCTGTGTTGTGCCACACCATGCTGTACCATGCTGTACCATGCTGTACCTGCACCTTGTCCCACACTCAGCCTTTGTTCCCAAAGCCACCTCTCACCACAGCAGTGCTGGCTCTGGCACTGATGCTGCTCTGCAGGGATTTAGCATCTGCAGCCCAAAACCAGACCCTTTGCGAGGCTTTCCCACAACATCCCCAAGGGTGGAGAGATGAGGTCAGGAACAGGCTGCGAAAGGCCCTGGGGTGGACAGCACTTTCCAGGGTGAGYGTGGCTTCCCCAGGAGGCAGAGAGAGCCCTGGATGCAGGACACAACCCAAAACAGCAGTGGTGGTGTCAGGGTGCAGAATGAGGTAAAGTGACCTGAAAATGAAGGAGCTGCCAGCGATATGGAAAAGGCCCTCAGTGCAGCCTGGCCCCTTTCAGAGCCACGCGCTGCAAGATCAAGGCTAGAAAAACTGCTGGGAAACGTGCTTCTCTGGGAACAGACAAGGTGTGAGTGGCTGTGGGATCCTGCTTCCTCTCACCGCATCCCATCAATCCCCCTCTGTTTATTTTAATATCCTGCTGCCAACTTGCTGGAAAAAAGCTGCAACCATCTTGAAAAAACAAAGCCAGAGCTGCTGCATGCCTTTTTAATTACATTAATGCTCTCCCTGTGCAAGGGCACAGTTGGGTGTGCGGGAGAAAGTGGGGTCTGCTTGGAGGGCTGGGGAGATAAAGCATCACAGGGGTTGGAGGTGGGGAAGGAGGGACTCRGAGGAGAGGAGACACTCCATGCTCTGGAGACATCTCCCTCACACCCTGGGATTTGCCAGAGACACAAACCATCTGTGTGTCRGTTAGCAGAGATTTAATGGCCAAACCCAGCACCAAGTTCAGACCTGGGGAGAGTGAAGTGCAGGAGAGAGCCATGGCAGGGCACATGCTCCCTCAGGGAGGGAAARGGCAAGGGCAGCAATGGGGTGGATCCTTCTGGCAAGCACAGAGTGATAGAGAATTTTTGCAGGGAGGCTTGATGGCTTTGAAGATGATTTTGCAGGCTGGGAATGGCTCTGTGCATCCTTTTGCCTGTCCTGGGTGCCACAGGTGGCTCTGGACCTGGGCATCTCAAGATGCCAGGCTTAGTGTGGGCATCAGGGTGAGTAGTGGGTCCCCAGCATGAGGCAGGACAGGGAGTCCCCAAACTATCTGGCAATCCGGGGCCAGTAAAGAGGCTGGATGGCCACGAGAGCTGGCCAGCAGTGGTGCCAGCAGCAGGAGTGTCCCCAGCCCCAGACTGCGGTCCTCTCAGAGTGAGCAGTGGTTCCTTTTCCTGTTGTACTCACAGAGGGCCATGGACAGGATGCATCTGCAGGAATCCCACAGCCCCAACCTGCACAGATCGTACTTTTCCTTTCTTCCCCTCAACCCCCTGGTGTTGTTTGCTGACAGGTCACCAGGCAGCACGTGAAGGGAGGCAGGGGGTTATTTCTGTGCTGTCCTGCTCCCCCCAGGCCCGGTGGTGGGGCACAGCATTAGCTGAGAGGCTTCTGCCATCTTGCACCACTTATTTAGTGGTTCAAGCAGAGGGACCATGCCAGTTTTAAGATCTGATTCAGTGCCTGTTTCAGCCAGCCCTGGAGCTGGCCAGGGCTTTAGGGATTACCTTTCTGCTCGCTGCCCCAGAGCACGGACAGGATGAGAGGGTTTGCTGTCCCCAGCCAGCCCCATGCAAGCCATTATCTTCTGCATTTTGGGCTGAGCTCCGTGGGGCTGTCAGGCACCCCCAGCTGCTCCCTGGGGCGATGGACRGGCAGGCTGCGGCCATCTGGAGAGCAGTGTTTGCACTGGGATAAGTGTGTCCGGCATTAATAGGAAACGCAGCTTAGCGGACRGATTCCTTCCACCGCCTCCTTTTTTTAATAAACCTTGTTACATTTTGAAGGGATTTTACCAAAAATGCGGTCATTTATTTTCACAGCCCCGGGGCACATTTTTCCTGTGTGACATCTCTCCGCCAGGGCCGGGGAGGTTGGAGGC